GCTTAGTCGATCTTTTCCACTTTTCCGACGATCTTCTCTTCGAAGATGGGCAGGATGGTGTCATCCTCCCGCACCTCCTCGAAGACCACACCACAGTCGAACTCGTCGCTCACTTTCTTAAAGTAATACCTGACAAAAGAGAAACATGGGGGCAGAGAAGAAAAAAAAAAAAGAGCAGGTCAATTGTCATGAGGGCACCACAGTTCCCAAATCTGGGTACAGCCCTTCCATGTCCCTGAGCTGACGGTGCAGAGAGAGCAGCTCTCCCAGACACGGAGGAAAAAAGTGGTCAGGATCTCTGCTGGTACATTCAGGAGCTCCAGCCCTAAACCCAAGCCCGTTGAGAGCTCTCCTAAGTGTAGTGGCTGGAGACATCCGTGTTGGTGGAGTGCTTCTAGGCAGGCTGTCCCATGGCAGCTCCCACTTGGAAGGGGCAATTTGGAGAGTTATACATCCCATACCTGGCTACTCTGGCAATGTGGCAGGACTCAATTTCCCTGTCCTCACTGGGGGAAAGTTTGGGAGGAGCCGAAACAGCTCTGAAAATTGGAGGGTTCCTCACAGCATCATCTCTGAGCATCGGCTGATGCTGCTCCTCACCAGCCCAGGGCCTCCCAGGGCCCTGCAGCACAGCTCAGCAGCTTCTGCTCAAGGTGCAAACCGTGATGCAGGACATTCCTGGTACAAAACCCAACCTGCCCCATCCCTGTAACCTACCTTTTCAACAGCCTTGGCTCCGCTGCCATGTGGAGCCCTCCCGGAAGGCTCTTGGGACCTCCAGGAGCCCTCGACCTACTTCCACCATCCTCCTTTGCCTTGGTGGGGGCAACATGGCCGTGTACCAGCAGCAGCATCTGCCAGGGCTGGCTGACAGTCTGCTGGCACCACACTGCACCCGGAGAGCAGCCCTTACCTGTAGTTCCCTTTCTTGGTCAGCAGCTCCTTGAATTGTCCCAGTGTTACCACGCGCCCTTTGACGAGGGTGCGGTAAGGGATGGGCTCTCCGCAGAAGTAGTAAGCGACCACGATGTTCTCGCAGGGCTGGGACGCGCCGCTGCCTGGTCTCTTCTGGGGCTTCAACCTGCCATGATAAAAGACAAGCGACCTGCTGAGTATCTGCAGAGCCTGGATGGAGACACCAAATTAACGGCTGGGCCTCTCAGGAGTTTACTCTGCTCTGGCCCCCAGCTCTCTCAGCACACAGCCCAGGCTGGTGAAGGAGCGAACAGCACCTGGAAAGGCTGGACGGGGCCAGATCTCTGCTACAAGGAGGGTGCAGGTTCTAGCTTAGCCCCTTGGTGCTGAAAAATCCTGTCCCTGGGTGTTGAGCTGGGATGGCCCTTCCCCACAGCACTGCCGGTTTGGCGGGTCATTGGAAAGCTCCGGGCAAGACAGAGCAGCCCAGGCTCAAGTAGCAGGGCTGGGTCACCATCAGCACGCTCCCGGTGTGCCCCGAGCTGGATGCCCACTCGGGGACGGTAATGCCACTCAGGCTATCGGGGATTATCACTGCTGCGGTCAAAATAGCTCAGCGCAGCTTTCGGCTGACCTACATCTGCAGGGCTGCACCCATGGGACTGCTCCTGCTCCCCGCAGCTCCCCTGGGCACCTCTCCCAGCAGAGACGGAGGTCAGAGGGGACGGAGCTCCCAGCGGGACGTGCCCTGGTGGCTTTGCTGCCCATCTGCCCTGAGTGACAAGGCAGCCGCCGTGCCCAAAACCTCAGTGACTTTAAATCTGCTGTGTTTTCCTGACTCTCAGGATGTTGCTCTGGTCTCTGCTTCCAGCCCACACACTGGGGTTCTGCTACGTGGTGCCATCTCCAGACCAAAAGCGTCAGCCCAGCCCTAACCCCATTTTCAGAAGGAGACAAAAGTAGCAATAATAAAAATCAGGGTACTTTGCCCTTCTGCAGAGCCTTTCATCTGGGGTGCTGTAAATGCTGCGCAAACATTGGAGCAGCCTACACAAACTGGTAACTTGGCATGTGTGGTCTAAGCCAGAGGCAGCCTTCCCTTTCAAAGTCACATAAAACAAATTTGGCAGCTTTAAAAAAAAATATTTAAAAAGCACGCTGGATAAAAAAGATGATTTTGTATTTACATGGCTGGAAAGTTGCTATAAAAAAACCCCCAGAATTTGCCAAGCACATGAGGTAATTGCAGTTTTGGAAATGACTCTGACCCTAACCTTTAAACACTGGCTCGGGGGCAGAGCACCTTTCTAATGGCTTGCCCACGTAAACACTGGCATTGCAACCCAATACAGACACGATCTTTTGGCATATTTCTAAAGGCATGAGAGGTCTAAAGTTCAGCTGAACAACCTCTCTGATGCCTGCTCTGCCTGGCAGACCTTTGGAGAAGATGCAGCATCCTGAGAGGCCAGGGGCTGCTCCTGGTGCCAGCAGAGCTCTCGGAGCCTCTCCCACCCCCTATCAAAGCACAGGATGCCCTTTAGCTAGAAAAACATTAAGGAATTGAGTCATCCTTGGAAGAAAAAAAACAACCAGGCATTTAAAGGAAAAATGGGTCATAAATTCAGGCAAATTCTGTGAACTCTGCGAGCCAGAAGTTAATTGAAGGGGTTTGGAAAACCTCAAAGTCCCCAAGCTTCTCTTAATCCTGCTAGAAACAAGTTGTGACTAAGGGAGAGCTGCCGTGTGCCCGGGGACCTGCGGACGCGGCTCCACGTCCTGCATGGGCAGCAAATCTTGTTTCCCCAGGGCTGCTGTTCCCTCTTGCCTAGAGAGATGGAGAGGACACCCTGAGCTCTGAAGGGGGGGACCATGCTGGGGTGGCTGGGAGCCTTCCTCCTCCTCCTGACGTGTAATTCATCCCTGAAAGGCCGTTTCTGAACACACTCAACCCGGCTCCAGCGCTCACCTCTTTCCAGAGCAGAGATGTGCCTGACAACGATGCCCAAAAGTAGAAACTCTGCACACGGAGCTAGAATTAAAAACAACCCCCATGGCTCTGGATGCTCCTGCTTTTGCTATAAATCAAAGCAAGGGCAGGTGGTGGTGGTGCCTCCAAGCTCCTGGGGCTGAACAAAGCCGTGCAGCGAGACCAGCCAGTCGGCAGCAGAATACACACCCCTCAAAACCACAGCCACCCATCTCTAGCAGGCTGAAGCAGAGCTGATGAATATGGAATCACTGAAAATGTAATTTTCTACGAGCTCCTCTCAGGAGAATGAGACAGCACAACTGTCTCCGCTTCTGTCATCGCCAAGAGATCTCCTGAGACCATAGCTTATCCAAACAGGCCACCAGCCCGCCTCTGAGCCCTACCTCATTAAAGCTTCCACCTGCACCCATCTCCTGGGCGGCAGCGTGACCCAGGGACACAGCCGGTACCACCACCCTGCCCCTTCTGGGACCACCTCCCTTTGCTGCGTTTGTCACAAGCACAAAACATTACCCAGTAAGGGAACAGCAGCACTCATCTGAACTACTGCTGCTGCGTTTCAATCCTGACTTCTCAGTTGTATTACCCAGTGGTGTTGTGACCGGGAAACGAACTCTGGGTTACAGCACCAACCCAACCTCGCTGCGATGCAGAGGTGAGGTGTTCAGCTTGTTCCAGCTCAGCCCTGGGGCCGGGAAGAGCTTTGGAAAGCTGGAGATGCACCCATTTCAGAAGGTGCTCCAGCTGCCGGCTCTGCTCCTCTTGCAGGCTTGGCCCAACCCAATTAATTCCGCACTGAGATCACGCTCATGTTCTTGCGGCTCGCAAAAATCTTTTCATTGAAGAGCTGGTATTAATTACTTCATCCAGCTGCAAACTGAAGTGAAGCATGACACCGATCTAGAGAAAATGGCTCAAACCCCAGCTGTACATAGAAGAAACCTGATGGTCACTGGGACACCAGTGCTGGACAGGCTGGATCTGAAGGTCATCCAGTAGTGAACACAGTCCTGAATTGCTTGCAAGCAGAAGCCAGGCAGCTATCTTAGAGATCAGTCCCCCTCCAAACGCTACGAAATAGAGAGAGAACGGCCTTTTCTGCCATTAAAGTGTGAATTCTGGAAGGATATTCATGTTTCCCAGAAGAGGCACTGGAGGTACCTCCTTTACTTCTAGCAGGGCAGTGCTGAGGTGGGAGTGGGGCTGCTGGCACGCCCAGCCAGGGCAGTTACCCGGGGAAGGTCACTGCTGGCGAGGGCTGTGCCCGAGGAGAGTGGCTGGTGAGCCAGGTAACCATGCCGGCGAGGTCAGCTTGGCTGTACAAAGCTGGCACGGCGCACTCTCCTCTCGTAGCCAGCTCAAGCCAGTGCTCAAGGACACCTTCGGGCTCACCTCCACCTCTCCTGCCACAGGCACTGCAGTTTCCCAAGGCTGACAACAAACCTGGGACACTGGCTCCAGTCTCTCAGAGCCCTTCAAAGTTCCCGACTGAAACAAATGATGTTTTCACTCGGGCTCCACGCTCTGTTTCTCCTTCGCTCTCAGAAGAGCTGTGGGGTCTATTTTCTGGCAGGCTCTCGCACTGACCATAGCAGGAGCTCTCTAAAAAGCTGCTACCTCAGGCGTGCTTCAGCTGGAGCACCCAATCCTGCCAAAATCCGAAGTTTCAACATCCAGAAACTTTCAGCTTCCTGGGGACTGCTGTATCCACTCCTGCCTGCTCCTGGACTCGGGCACATATGCTTTCCATGAGCAGTTCCCCGCTGGCGAACACGGCTCCCTGTTTTTCCGCACGTGGAGTGGGGCAGGGGGATCCCTGCATCCCCCGGAGAAGAGCCAGGCCCCATGGAGAGGCAGCAAAAGCAGAGGAGCTCAGTCTGCTGGGCTGCACGGCGTTTGCTACAGTGCCATGGGCTTCCTACAAAAGCTGTGTGTAGGACACGCGGCAAATTATTATTAGAGTATTAATTGCACATGCACAGAGCCTAGGCTGGTGTTCCCAAAGTGTGCATCTGCATTGAGACACTTCCGGGGAAAGTGTGTGAATTCAGTAGGACTATAAACGATTCTACTAATAAATTCTAACCAGTTACACCAACTGAAAGGTATATCAAATAAACTTGGCTTAACCTGACTTGGGAGAGCCCTCTAATTCCCCGACTTTCAATCAATGATCTGATATATACGTGCAGAATTCTACTACATGGCCACCGCAAGCAAAAATAATTGGAGGTTGGCAATTAAAAAGCTTCTTTTTAAAATTCTCTTCATGTTCCTAAGACTCAGGCTGCGAAGTTTCAAGTTTTCAGAAGACAGCTACAAAGCTGGGAAAGGTTTTTAAGGGACAAAGTGCTTTTAGCTGTTAACAGTAATTATCCAGCACTTCCCAAACTCTTTTCATCTGAGAGCTCCATGTGCCTTGCAAATAACATTCTCTGAAAGATAATACAGGAGCAGGAGAACAGCTCTGCAACAGGCATTAAGCTGAGTCACAGAAAGACACAGTGACTTGGAAATGGCCACGCAGCGAGTCAATGTTGCTGCAGCGGGACTACGGGGCAGTGCTCTCCTCCAGGTGCCACGAGCAGCCCTTGCTGGAAGCCTGCAGGAGATGTAGATAAAGAGCAAATGCAGATTCTTCTTTTGCATTTACTTCCGCTGCATCCTGCTACCAACCTTTGAAATCATTGTGTGAGTGTGAACAAGCAACAAGTCAGCCAGCACCTGGGGAGAGAGCTCTCCCATAATCTGCTCCTTCTAGACATGCCTCTCCTGCCCAACTCCCCCTCAAACTCTGAGCAGCCCCTTCCCCACCCTGCCAGGAGCATTTCCAGCCTTTCCATCCACAAATCACAAGCCCAGGCCCTCGAGGTGGGTTTTGGCATCTGCACCACCACATCAGAGGGACTGAGGCAGATTTCTCTGACGTCTCTGCATGTGCCTCCACCCAGTTGGTGCTGGGACCTGGAAACCACAGCGGAGGACACGATGGACATCTCCCTTAGCTGCCCACCTTCCGAGCAGTCTCCCTCTTTTCCTTCCCATGCACATCAGATCCTATTGCCATACCTTTGTTTAGGGGGGAGCTTTCCAGCCCTTTTTTCCTCCTCCTCCAACCTCCTGCGAGCTTCTTCCAGCTGTGTGAGAGGGTTGGGCGCTGGGTTGGGCGGCATGGTAGGATCTTGGATGAAGGGGTGAGAAGGCTGGACAACGTTTCGGAGCTGGGCGCTGACCCATGGGTGCACCGCAACAGGTCGCTCAATGGAGAGGGGTCGGACCATATCATGGGACAGTTGCTTCTTGGCACCTGAAGAGCTACACACAAACACAAAGGTTTTACACAGACCATCGAGCCGCTTCTCACAGGCACAGTCACTCCTAGATGGACCTACTGCTTCTGCAGCTGGGCACGGGCACCACTGGGGAGCTTCCAAGGGAGAGGGGAGCACCATCCAACTCTAGAGTCTAAAGATTTCAAGACAGCAAGTCCTAGACATCAGAGTGAGCAACCCAACCTTGACACAGAGCCTGCAGAGATGCTTAAGGACTCTCATCAAAAATTAGCAAAAGGCAGCTCCATCATTAGTGACGCTCTCCCAGAAGATGCCCTCCTGGCGTTCCCTGCCTGGGAGCCTCTCCACAAGCCGCTGGCTGGCATCTCCAGGGAAAGGGATGTTGCAGGGATGTGCTTATCCTTCCCCAGCTCCGGCAGCAGAACCTTCTGCCTGTCATTGTGGTGGTGTGGCACTGCCCGTGGCCCTGGCACTCAGTCTCAGCTGCCTGCAGTGTCACCCACCCTAGCCTCTGCCATCCAGCAAGAGAAGAAACCACCAGCAGTTTCACCATTCAGCCACGAGCATCAGAGGGGACAAAACCCCAGATCCCTCTCATCGACACCTGGCAAGCACTGTTTTTTGCCAGGGACTGACCAGACTAAGGGTCTAAACCTTTGTGACTGGTGGTTTCTTTTCTTCCAGGAACAAAGCGGACTGCTGGACAGCCTTGTGCAGGGAACGCAACACCAGCCTGAATACTCCTCGCTCTGCCAGCCCTTACCCATGGTTTGTTTTCTTATGCCTGCTGATCTCCTTCTCTCCTTCTATGATCCACTGAAGGATCTTCTGGTTTCTCTCCACGTCTTCAGGAGATCCTGGCATCTCATAGTTGGCACCATCACTTTTCCCTGAATCGGTCTTCTTAACATTTCTTTTGGAGAGCAGACTTGCTTTCCCACTGCAAGAACAAAGACATTAGCGCTTTGCCTAAGTCAAACCACCGCAGATCGTGGTGGAGGAGAGACATGTCCATCTCCAGACATACGCAGCCCTGCTGGGGTCTGGTGCTGATGCAGTACAGCCATGGCCCTGTCTGCCTTCCACAGCCCCCTGGCTCTCCGCAGCTCACACCAACCGTGCCGTGGTTGAGGCCAAGAGCAAGACCTGCCAGGCCTAGGCACAGGAGGCTCCTCTGTCTAGACACCCGCAGAGAAAGGCAGCTTCTCCTCTGGTCAAACAAGCCCCAACAAAGTGGCAAAAAGCCCAACAGATGTCCCGCTGCGCAGTGTTGTGTTAAACCTGTCTCTTTGCCCAGAGCAGAAGGCTCATCCTGGTACTGCAATCCATCAGCTGCCTCACCACGTCAGACCACTGCTCGAAACCTTCCCATCACTGCCTGCATTCACTGACAGCCCAACTGGCGGTTTGCCACGCTCAGCTTTCGCTTCCCACCCTGACCTGAACTGAGGCTTCACGTCACGGTGGAAGATCACACGCTGGGAGGTGGGATTGCCTTCTGTGGGCTCTTGTGCAGTGGGCAGATGGCCACCTCCAACACCGTAGCCAGAAGGACAGCCAGCAGTAGCTGGCTCTGGCTCTCCTTACGGCTCCCACAGAAACCCCACTGCTCCTTGTCCCCACGCAGGCCCGTGCACCCAGCCGGGCAGCCCCACGCTCAGGCCGCCACGTCCCCCACAATCCTCATCTCCCACCCGCTTTACTCTGCAGGACCTCTCTACTTCTGCTTCTGCGTGTTCACTAACGCACGGAGGAACAATAATGTTAACATCATAGCAGAGTAACAGGCCCTCAGGCACCTTTGCTGATTTTCTGGGGCAAAAACCTGGAGAGGGGTTGCTTAAGATCAACAAAGGCAGGGCAGACTTCTGCTCTGCTTTTCCCCACACAAGGACCAGCAGGTATCAAATGAAATCCTTCAGTGGCAGGTTCAGCACAAACAACAAAAAAAGCCTTTTTCTGCAGGTTTAATCATCCCGCAGACAAAGCCACGAGGGTCTGGGGCGACAGTGGCATCACTCTAAGCCCGCAGTCTCGGGGTGCCAGCACAGCTCTCCCCTGCGGCTGCTCCATCACGATCCCTTATCCCAGGCAGCCCCAAACTCCGCTCTCACCTTTCCTATCACAGCTCAAACCAGGACACCCAGCAACAGGACAAGCAAAACATGCCACAGCAGAGAAGGAGCTTCTCCCTCTCCCATCAGCACAGAGGGGATGGAAGAATTCAAATAGCCAGCAGGAGATGCACAAAAGGCAGCAAAATGTCTTTTCTGGGCAGAGGGTTCCCTGTCCGGAACCCCTGGGGTTCCCTGTCCGGCCCTTGGGGACAGGACACCATGGCAGCACCGCAGCGTCCATCGATTCGTTTGGAAAGGAGCCCTTCTGGTGAACGGGTTAGGCCTTAAAATGAGGAGGGCTTTTTTTGTCCTCTCCTGAACATCGTAGGAGACCGGTTCCAGTCACTCAGACACAGCCCTACACTTAGCAGGTCCTGATGCAGGGGGAAGTAGAGCAACATCTGTGATTTCTAAGCACCTCTGCTGCTTTAAGGAGCAGAAAAACTAATTAAAAACCAAGGCTATGGAAAATCCTACTTAGAGGGTGGGTCTTTCAGCACCAGATCACAGAGGTGAAAAGGGGTCTAATAAGAGTTAGCAAGGGACACATCCATGTTTGAAGAGGAAGAGCAGTGAGAGGCCCTCACACCACGTCCCAGCACAAGCTTTCTTGAGAAAATACAGTTCAACCACCATGTTTCACCGGCACATTTATAAAAGAGCTTCCTAGAGAAGCCATGGCTCTGGGACACCCGTTGGGTGTTGCCTTGACTCACCTGTAGCCTAAAGAGTCCATGGGGACAGGGGCCATGCCCAAGTTTTCAGTGTAGTTTCGTGACTTTGTTGCATAGTTATGTGAATCGACATTCCAAGCAAAGTTGTTCTGCACTCGCTGCGTGGCCTCGGCCTCGATCTGCTCTTTTGGTTTCATCATGCTGTGGTGATGGATGTGGTGGTAGATGTGTTTATGGTGGTATAAGTTAGCTGCATCCAGCTTCATTCCTGATTTTGTCGCGTGCTTGCCGTGCCCTGGAGGAATTGTTCCTAGTGTCCCTGACAGCTTTCCTAAATGGCCACTTTCTGGGGACCGTGGCTTAGGAGAGTGGCGGCCAGGTCCTGGAGACTGGCAGCCTGGTGTTTTCATCACACGCTGTACATGTTCATCGAGGATGCTTTCCGGGTTTTCTTCGTGGGCATCTCTCATTTGCATCCCAGCGCAGCCCATCTCAGAGTAACGAGGAGCAAAGTGATGAAAGGCTTGGGCGGAAGGCATCTTGTGGCTCAGGATCGAAGGACCAGAAGAGATATCTGCATCCTCACCTTCTTCTTCCTGTAAGAAACAAGAGGGCAATCAGAGGAGCCACCATTAGCAAGGCCTCTTCCAAAGAAACCGAGGCAGCCTCTGACACGCTGCCCACTCATCACAACCAGCATTCACAGATGCAGCTTTTTCTGCTAAGTGTAGCAACTGAATCGGATGTGTGAGTGGGCAGAACCTTACTAAAAAGCTCCTTAAGGCCCTCGAAGGCGGTTCTCGAACAACCAGCAGTAGAAACTCAACTTACCGCACCGTACCCACAACTTCCTACAAGCCTTTGGTAAGGCACCGTTTCAAAGCTCATCAGATAAAGCCCAAAGCTATAGGATATGTGGTAAAACAGTTTTTGAGTCAGGCGAGACCAGGGGGGGTTTCTCACCCAAATGACAAGTTCACAAGGCAAAGCAAGCAGCGGGCTTGTTACAGGAGGGAGCAAGTGAAGGTCGACAGCAGCATGAATAGTTTTGAAAATCAAACAGTGATTTCTCCCGGGCATACTAAGGCTGGAGTGAAACACTTCACACCAATAAAGGAAGGGGCTGAACTAACTGCTTGTTCTTGTAGCTCACAACGGTTCAGGACACGCTGTTGGCGACTGTTAAGTCCTTGCCAGGAAGAATAAAACTCCTCCATGCTGACAGCCACAATTTTGATGCTGACAAACTACTTTACACTCCAACATAAACTCAGATATTTATGAAGTTTCTTTATTGGAAGTCAGGATTCCTATTTTTTTTAATTACATAAGCAGGATTCCAGCGAGTCCTTTAATCCTGCTCTGTTTTCCTCCTGGCACAGGAAAGAAATCAGTTGCAGTGTGGGGTATCTCTGCCCTGCCAGATAAATGTATCTGCTAGAAAACACTGACTCCCATCAGCTTTGCCTGTCAGATGTCATCATCCATCACTTGCTAACAAGCTTCAAAGTCTCAGCTGCCAACCACAGAGCAAGAAAGCAAACAACAGACTTCCTCTCAGTGTCACACCTGGGGGTTCAAACCTGAGCAGGGGACAATGCCAGGCTTTGAAAGCACCAAAAGCGTGGGTGCTGCAAGCCCAGGGGTGTGACATGATGCCCACGTCTGGAGGGGACGCGGTGCTTTCTAACAAATCGCTTTGAAGAACTTCAGAGGCACCTTTCATCTCCAGCCACGACGCTGCAGCCTGCCAGCTGCTGTCCCTGGGCACCTAGTTCAGGGACAAGAAAAGATGAAGCACATGCTGACTAAATCCCTACCGCTGAGGTAAGCTTTCATGAGCGCTTTATGAAAGCCTGAAGATGCGCTCAGCACTTGGGAGGCCTTTAGGGCTGGTACCTCCTTTCTGGAAAACTCTTGTAACTGGCACCTGGTAGTTTCCTTTGTACTGAGACTGAGATCAGGGTGGGCTGAAGGAAGGAGAGGGAGGTGTTGGCTCACTCTCGAGTTGCCTTGGCTCCGGTCATCTGTGTCACTGCGCAGGAGATCTGAACCCCAAGTAGGTGCTCAGGCAGGAGCAAGTGCTGCTGGGGTGGGTGCTGCTCAGACGGGCTCTGGGGCAGCTGCTTCCCACCCTCTGCACTTGTCTCGGCCTCACTTCGGGTAGGAAAGCCCCAACAGAGAGGAAACAGGGGCTAATGAAGGAACTGGGGTGCCCAGCCCAAGCTGTCCCCTCTCCTCAAGCAGGACAGAGGCCGAAGGTTTGAGTCAAGGCTGCAGATAGGAATTCTGCCAGATCTTTTCACTGTTCTTAGTCTGCAGCGAAAACACCACGATGTGGCACGAGGTTGGAGCGGCACAAACTGGGATGGAAATGCAGGACTCTAGATATAACAGAGTCGAGCCTTGGCACCAGTGCATCATAAGGTGCTTCTTGTCTGTGTTACCCCACCGAGGTCTATGCCTTCCCTCCCACCGAAACCTGCCCACAGCCAGCTCCGCGAGCTGCCCGCCTAACCGGCCTCCCTCGCCCTGCCTGTGGCTGGCATGGCCAGGGAGAAGAAGAGCCAACGGCACGACCAAGGAGGCACCGGCCAGAGGGAACAACTACTGTTCTACGCCGCGGGTCTGGGCAGCAGGCTCCTCCAGCAGCTCAGCTTTCCTCAGTGCAGGGGTGGCATCTGGGGGCTCCAAAGCCCTGGTTCGGCATGTGGCTGCGATGAGCTGGCAACGCTCCGCAGCGAGCGCAGCCTCTGGTTGGGCGCGGGCGGGGAAGCCCCGGGTGCCATAACCACTAGATGGTGCCTTGTTGACACAATACTGCCAGAAACCTCTCCCGTCCACTCCCAAAGGCAGCCCCAGTTACAGAGATGCAGGCTTCAACTTCGTTGCTCAACGAGCTATTTTTGTTCTCCATTCCCCTCGAATTAGGAGGCTGAGATCCGCACTGATGAGCTACGGGCGAGCGATACCTGCTGCGAACCTTCTCCCCTGCCTTGCCCCAGTCCCACCCATCAGGCTGCTCCTGGTCGGCAGGGCAAAACAAACAGCTCACCTAACCACGAGTGCTTCTTCGACCCATCATGCAAGTGATTTCCCTCTCTAGTTAGGCAGTGGTTTATACTCCAACAGTGAGAATCTCAGCGCTGGTTCTGCTTCTCCTGGCTTTTTCTCAATTTGCTCAGTTCAGACAAAGACCGAGCAATGCGTATGATACGACACCGATCTGTTTGATACGACAGTGATGTGTATGGTACAACACTGACCTGTACGATGTGATACTGCAGCTTTCCTGCACAGACACAAGGTTGAACTGGCTCAAAAAGTAACAAGGGGACACACATATCCATTAATCCTCTCCCATGCTGCTCAGAATAATTAATGGAATTCAGAGTTTTCGGTGGTTGTTTTGAAAAACAGAAATCTGACAGTTTTTTTCAGTAAAAGGCATTTGGCTTTAAATCAAATGCCTCTTCTCCATGTTACTGCATGATGTTACACGCTTTGAAAGGGAACCTGCAGGCAGCTCAGCATGGGGGAGAAAAATTCTTTTTTTCCTAGCTTTTGCAAAATATTTCCAGCTTCTCTGCTAAGCTGATAACTGCCTAGTGTGACTAACACTCATGGTTTTCCCTGTGCTGCTGTTCAGTGAGCCATGCAGACCCGGTAAGAGGTTACCCTGTAGCCCTGGTGTTCAGGTCACAGAAAAAAACCGCCTGTGATCTATCAGGATTCAAGCTCTCCTCTTGCTGATACCAGCAGCTCCTGCACCTTAAGTGCTGACCTAAAAAAGCTACAATTGCTTACTCTGAGTTTTTCCTGAATGGCTAATGCCAGATGCCAGCCGGTCAATGAAATACATTCTGGAGACAGCAAAGAGGTTTAATATATAGTGTTAGTGGGAGTCCTGGCCTTAAAAATAGATTAAGTCACACAAAAATGTGTTTAAACAGACTTAAATTTATTCTCTGGCACATAGGTATTTGCTGATTTTATGGTGTTGCTACTGGCAGCTTCTTCAAGGAGGCAACGGGCTGAGATAACGTAGTCTGGTACAGGTGGGGGCTGCAATGGAGGCATGGGAGGAGGAGGAGGAGGAGGAAGAGCGCTCTAGGGCTGTGTTAGCAGAAAATTCTTTCTGCTGTATGGGCTTTGTCTAGAAAGCAATAGGTGCCAAACAGGAAAATAGAGCAATTCCAGAAGAACAGGACTCTAATCACAAAATAACACCTCAATGGCCTTTTCTGGCTGGATGCGGAGGTGCAGGGATTTGCTGGACAAAGCTTGGAGCTGGAGGGAACCTTACAGACCCTTCTGCCTTCCTCACTCCTCTGCATTTGAAACACAGATGTGTTTTAAAGCAAATACAACCTACAGTCCTTCTTCTGTTTAAACAGCTATTAGATGAACACTGAAACATACTCTAATGGGGCTGGAGGGTCTGCCCTGCAGCCGCAGAGGCTCAGCTTCTCTGAAAGCCAAGACAGGCACCAACACCTCTGCTTTAAGGGCAAGCTGCAGGTTCCCAAGCACAGAGCCTTACCTTGGGGCAATGGCAGCTATTAACTGCAGGGAGACAGAATTTCCTCACAGAGCGCAGGGCGGTAGTTATACTGACACTGGTGATGCTCAGTAACACTACGGTGTCCTCCAAAAACTCTTTGGTATTCCCAGCACAAGCTGTACAGGTACCCATGAGTTATGGTGTCTCAGAAGAGAAGATATGGTGTGAATACTGCTGAACTGCGTGTCTCACCCAGGTAATACCAGATGACCAAGACCTCAATCTCTCCCTTTTAGAACTCGGTGTGGAGTTAAAGGTCTTGCAGCTTCCCTTCCTCCTGAAGGTTCTGAAAGGCACCAGGGCTCACAGCAGGCAGTGCCATGGGCTGGGTTTTCTCAGCCACCTAGGGGGAGTCAGGTTGTTTCTCTGCCCAGGAGAGGGTTTTTGGATGCTACACATGATCAGTTCCAAATTTTCTAGGGACGTGCTAGGCATTGATGGGCAGAACCCTTTTGGCTGTGGTAGAGACGGCCTGACTGGAGACACAAACACTTTCAAACGTAGTATCACCTGCCATCTGGTTACCGTTTGTGCAGGAAACAGGTGTCACACAAAGCCTCACAGGGGAAGGTGAGCCCGTTACACAGTCCCCATCCTTGCACGGAATTGACTGAGCACAAAGTCAGGAAAGAGGGTGCCAAAGAATCATAGAATCATAGAATCACAGACTGGCCTAGGCTGGAAGGGACCTTAGAGATCATCTAGTCCAACCTCCCTGTGGTGGGCAGGGACACCACCTCTCGACTAGACCAGGCAACACAGGGGGACTGAGCGGGAAGATGATGGAGAGCACCTGCAGCCCCTAGTGGGTGGCAGAGGAGGCCACTACTGTGCCACACTGGTATCTTACAGCAGGGAGGGAGTGCTGGAGCTCACAGAGCCCTGCAGGGACGGGGGAAGAGCACTCTGGACACGGCCAGGGCAAGAGGAGCCTTCAGAAGCCCCTGTGTGAGTGATGACCATGGCTGGTGGAGCAAGGAAGTGGTCACCTCAGTTGTTTCCCCAGCAGCTGAAAGCTCCCTGTGCTGTACCGCAGGCAGATCCCCAAGTTAGCAATGGAGGCAAGCAGAGAGGTTACTGACCGCTCGAACGCGTTTAAGGCGCTCCTCTAATTTCTCCTCCGCTTCACGTTCTTTTTGTACTTCCTCCAAACGATTGATCAGTTCTGCAGCAAACTTCTCTGGTTCAACGTGGATATCCTTTGGCATTCGGTACGTACGCTGGAGGAAGAACACATCAGAAGTTAGCAAAAGACGCACGAAAAATCACACGTTTATTTTGGAGCACCAGCTCCAGATTCCACCCCACTAAGGGAAAATCTTTCTGGAGCCACAGCTCAACAAACTCAACAAACCTTACAAGTGCAGAGAACACCATTTTTCTGCTTGCTGTGGGTGAACAAATGAATATTTATGGAAGTTCAAGGGCATTCTGAGTTCCTTACGCTGAGTTACTTTGTCCCTAAATTCCTGAGCTCTGGGATAAGATGTTTGTGTAGTGAAGGATGAAGCTGACAGTTGCTGTATTTTCCCCCTCATTTTTATCCCTTCTGCATTATTTTGTTCAAATAATAGAAAAAATAAAATGACACAGCAGAGATAAAAATTAAATTTAGAGGAAAAATATGCGGAAAATTCTGACAGTGCAAAAACCGGCATTCAAACATTTCAATACCAACATCAGAGAAATAAACACTCTATAGGACCACAGACAAAATTAAATGTGAAGACAAGAGATAATTCATAGCAAAAGAATGCAGCACCAGAAGCAGACATTGGGTTTCAAATCTTTAAAGGAGGATGAGGGACCATCCAAATTTATCCCAGACCAGCAAAAAGATCAATGCAGAAGACTAAAATAATCTTTTGCCTCAAAACCTGATAAAAGTATGCAAATCGTACTGGCTTTTCTCTCTCTGCCAGCTGCCAAGTGGAAGGCAGGGGAAGAAAAACCGAGGCAATAAGTATCTTACTGATGGCACCGAGAAGCTGAAGACGTCTTTTATGAGATACAAGCTGGGTTGCAGAGGTCTAACTTAAAGCACTATTTGTTTTGTTTGCTGGGAGCAAGATCCAGCCGACCCTGCTGGCAAATCTCAACTCCAGCGCTCACTGCTCCTCTTCCACGCTGGATGGTGCTGTGCTGCAGCATCCCCAGGGGTGTCTGAGGACACAGGGCAGTTTTGCAGGCAGAAGGCTGGGTACTTGCTCTAGCACCCACTTTCTGTGACAAGCGGAGGGACCGACAGCTCCTCCTGAAGCTGTCCCAGGCAGGACTGACCCATCCGAGCTGGGAACAGCCCCAACCAACCATCACCTTCATCCAGGGATGCAGCCACTGGAGAGGGCATAACACCCGCGAGCTACCAGGTGGGTCCCACTCTGGGATGACAAAGTCTTTTCTGTCACCAGAACCTCCAGCCCTGAAAAATCAATGGTCTATATTAAAAGAAAACACTGCAGAAAAAAATGTTCATCAAGTAAAATGATGTTTAGTCATGAAATATTGGCACAAAGGACAAAGTGGCACAATTTGTCCCAGCGCCTGGACCTTGTGTTGTCCAGAAACGGGCCCCAGACGTGCTCCATCACGGTGGAAGACGTGGCAGAGCTGGTCCCTGCTCTGCTACTCCCTGAGGAACTTCTAGGATCCAACTGATGTCTCCCCATTCTGCCCCGTGTAGCCTGGCAGGGCACTTCTGGCTCAGGGAATGTGCTTTCATCAGAAACCCCAAATCCATGACTATCACCATCTATCCTGGGAGGCAGCACCAGCGACTCCCAATGAGGAAAATCTCTCGCCTGACAAGTTGCAACCCGTTGGGTGATGTGTTCACTCCCTCCTGCCACCTCAGACATGCCAACTCTCCCTGCGGTTGTTTATACGACGGCAGCACCAAGCCCAGCTCCGTTAGAAACCTAATGAGCCTAAAGAGAAGCCGCTCAGCAGTTACAGTCTCAGGTCTCCCTGTCGCAGCTATGGCAGGGGCTTCCATAGAAAAGCAGAACCAGGAAGAATTTCTCTTTATTTTCATAGCCTTCAATGCGATGCAGAACTCCAAAGTTCTCCCCAGCTCCAGCAGCAGGTGCAAAGAGTGAAGTTTGCCAACCTGCGTGTTCAAGTACTGTTACAAGAAGGTGGTTCCCTCGCGGCACAGCAATGCTTAAGGACCACAGCTCTGTCTCTGATGAGAGTCTGAAGACGTTCAGAGTCTTTGCTGTATCCAGGGAACTCAAGATCTTGGTATTTTACAGCTACTACTTCAGCATGTTTATCCACAGCATCTCAAAGTCTAGAGGTGATTGCAATTCAATTACAGAAATGAAAATAATCAAACCCAAGAATCTTCAGGTTAAACCCATTTTCCTCTCTCTCTGAACCACTGCATCTGCAAAACTCACTGCCTTGTCCTTGGAGCTTTCCAGTCAGCCCAACAGCTTGCAGAGGTCCTCAGCAGCCTGTTTGAGGAGGCAAAGATACAGACCCCTCTGCGAAACCATCTCTGCAAGGGCCTCCCCGACCATCTAAGCTCAATACAAGGGAAATAAACCTCACTTCCCCCCCCGAGACACTGCTTGGCATGAGCCCTGTGTTGTCCTGGCAGGTGCCTGTGATGGTGCCTCACAGAAAGCTGGCAAGCAGGATGAAGCTCTGAACGTTGCCATGGGCCTGACTTTATTCCCAGCTCACAGACTTCCCCAAATCCAGTGGTACTGCAGAATAATGAATGCAAATTCCTTGTGTCGAAACAACAGAGATAACTGCTGAGGGCTCTCTCTATCTCCCCGGACAGCAAACACGGTCTGTGCTGACCTGGTTCAAAAGGCTTAAGACAACAAAAATTTTATCAGATGATGGGCCTGACTTCGGAAGGGAGACATGCTCCATCAAAAACCAGCCAGGCTGAGCCCGGGCCCAGAGGAGGATCCTTTGGGGCTTCAGGGTTTGGTACCCGCCCCTGGCTTCCCATGGGCATGCAGAGCCCTGCCAAGGGAGTCGTAAATAAGCCGTTTACTGTTCTGAAATCACCAGGGCTCCAAATGCTTTTCTTTCAAGTAAAAGGTGCAGGACTCTCTGAGAGCATTTTGGAGGATCCAGCCCTCCAGTTCAGACCAGAATGAGATCTCTGGACATTCTAGGTCTGAAACTTCTGACAGGAAGTGCTTAATTTTGAAGAACTGTTTTATCTACAGCTGTTTTATCTACTGTTTTATTTAATTATCTGTCTACACTTATTTAAGGCTACTGGTTCAGATGGGTCTGTCCAGAAACAAACCAGTCTGAGCTGGGGAGGTTGCAGAGGACAACAGACAGGAGGCTGAATGCAGATGGTTGACAAAAAAGAAACTGCTTGAAGTGGTCTGGATGGAGCAATCTTTCCCAGTGACAGCTGTGAGGAAGGATTTCTTGTGGTACCTATCACCAGAACACTGTCCTTGTCATGCGAAGTGTCCAAGCTCTGGTAACTTTGGGAAAAAGCAGCCTGCTGAGAACATGTGAGATACACAAGGCCTCCAGTAGTTCCATTTAGCATGTGCTATCAAAGCTTTCTCCTTCTTTTCCTGGAACTGATGCAGTGGGAATCGCATGGATTTTGGTCCGTGAGGCAGTCTTGGGTTTTAGAGGATATCACCTTCCCCAAGAAACTGAGGTTTGAGGGCCAAGTTGCACAGCAGAACACACCCGTACCCTCTGTGATGTCTGTGTGAAAAGGCTGAAAGGGAAGAATCACACTGTGGTTTGCAGGTTCCCCTTGGGAAGAATAAACTTCAAAACTGCCCGGAGATGAAACGAGAAGTTTTCCAGCGCTAGCACTGGGTAGAGGTCTCTGAATAGCCCCAGGGATCCATGGGTCGGGCTGAACCATTTATAACAGATCTGACTGGGCCAAGGAATTCTGTCTTGATAAATCTCCCTCTTCTACAGGAGGTTTCATGCCTCCATGATGTCTGAGTGGACAATGTTAGATCACAAGTCAGTCCTGGAAATGAAAGGAAGATGGCAGGCTAGAGAAGCCAAGAGAAAAGAACTTCTGAACAGCCACATTTGCCAGATTCATGTATTCCTCTGTGATATATGTTTTTAAAGGATAAATAATGTTTCTTTACCAGAAACACTTGTGGCAGAGCTCATGGATAGCCGGATTCCAACGTTCACTTTAGCAGCATTTAGGGATTACCAAGGTGTTTGAGGAAAACGGCATAAACCAGCTGATGGGAATTCTGAGCAGGTTGCCAACTCACAGGAGCGGAAAGCTCATTCAGCTGTAATTATCCTGTACACTCCTCACTTGTACAGCATAAATCACAGACCAGTCACTCAAAATCTTCCGTTTCACTCGAGAACGCTCTAGAAGCCACCTTGCAGCTTCCTTCATTGTGGATCAGGACAGGAGAGCTCTGACCCACTGATTGAGCTACAGTGAGAACATCACAAAATGCCTTCTTTATGCAAACACAGGAATCTCAAGTCTTAATGATGGAGGTTGGATTTTTCTGAATTTGCTGGGAAAAACAAATTATAGAATGGCTTAAGTTGGAAGGGACTTTAGAGATCATCAATCCAACTCTCCCTGCCATGGGCAGGGACGCCTCTCAACTAGACCAGGTTGCTCAAAGCCTCATCCAGCCTGGCCGTGAACACCCCCAGGGCAGAGCCATCCACAACCTCTCTGGGCAATCTATTCCAGAGTCTTGCCACCCTTGTACTGAAGAACTTCTTCCTAAGATCTAATCTAAACATATTCTCCTTCAGTTTAAACCCATTTCCCCTTGTCCTGGGGCTGGACACTCCTGTGAAAAGTCCCTCCCCAGCCTTCCTGTAGGTTCCCTTCAGGCACTGCAGGCAGGGATAAGGTCCCCCCAGAGTCTTCTCTTCTCCAGACTGAACAATCTCAGCTCCCTCAGCCTGTCCTCATAGCAGAGGTGCTCCAGCCCCTGGATCATCCTTGTGTTCTCCTCTGAACTTGTTCCAACAGATCCACGTCCCTCTTACAGTGGAGACACCAGAACTGGACGTGGTATTCGAGGTGGGGGTCTCACAGGAGCAGAGTAAAGGGGGAGAATCACCGCTCTTGACCTGCTGACCACGTTTCTCTTGATACATCATCCCAGGACAGGGTTGGCCTTCTGGGCTGCAGGAGGGCCCTGCCAGCTCATGTTGAGCTTCTCATCTATCAATACCCCCAAATCCTTCTCTTCAAGGGTACTTTCAACCCACTCTGTGCCCGGTTTGTATTTGTGCCTGGGACTGGCCCGACCCAGGTGCAGGACCTTGCATTTTGACTTGTTGAAGCTCCTGCAGTTTGTGCTGGCCCATTTCTCAAGCGTGTCACGGTCCCTCTGGATGGCATCTCTTCCCTCAGGCGAGTATCTCCCATCCTCTCCTGGGAACAGACGAATGTCAGAGCCGGGGTAAATACAGGGCAACAGCACAAGTACAGTCCTGCATTCTCAGCGCTTTCCGGGCTTCCACCCTTCCTTTGGGAACTTGCTTGCTCTTTCCTTCCTTGGTGCTCCAAGACTCCACTCGACTCCAAGAGAGAGATGGAAAACCACATGAAAAGCACTTGCCGTGTAACGGGTTCCTGCCAGAGGCACAAAACAAAGGTCTCGTTGCTTGCTAGAGCCCTTCACCCACTGCCTTCCTGGGCAGAGCGCCATTTCGCAAAACACAGCTTTTCCAAACGTAGAGCACTGGTGAGTTTTTACATGTGGCAGATGCAGAACACAGCCATCCATGCACCAAAATCTCCTGCTGCGTAGCAGGGCATCCTACAAAACCAGCATCTGCCTCCATGATTTGGGGGCAGCCGGGCTGCTGGAACTAGTGGGCAGTCTCCTCTGAACACATAACCACGACGGTTTATAGCTTCTGGATCTAAATAAAAGTGCTGCTATTAAAAGTAATATAAGTTCTGTCAGACTTTTGCCTAACAGCCCCATAACTCATTTGTAAAGGAAGGGTAAGGTCTCTATAAAGGACTTTTCGGAAGTAGGAGGTTCTCTCCTATCACTAGGAAAACATGCCACGCATTCTGCGAGCGCTATCAGCATGGACTCTGGCTACACTGGTTAGATACGAGTCCGTAAAGCCCTTCACTCAAAGGTCGCCGTTCAGTCCTTGCTACACGTTTAAAAGCACGCCAGGCCCCAGGTCCGGGCAGCTGACGGAGACCGCTCGAGCTCCGGGCTGTGAGATAGCCTAACCGCCGGCTTCGCAGAAACATTTGCACGGCTCCTTGTTAATTGGGGACGTTTAATTCAATAAGCGTGCAGTTAGAGGTGATTCTAAAAGACCAACTTTATAACATTTCACACTGGTGTTGTCAAAACATATTGTCTAATTACCTTCCCCTTTCTCGGCTGATTGATAAGTGAGGGCAGAGCAGCGCCTCTCTGAAGTCGATGCCAATTCTGTGTCAGTAATTGGCTGGCAGGAGGTGCCAGAGTGTCTGAACTAAACTTTTATTCCCTGGAGAAAGACTAGAACTAACTCGACTTCTCAGTACTCCGCTCCCATATAAATATGCGTCAAGATGCCTTTTTCCCTGGGACTTAAAATTACAGTGCAGAACCTAATGGGCACAGCGGATGTTTCACAGAAAAATCCTTGTGAAGCATCTGTGTGTAGTTTAGGAAGAATATGTAATTCTAAAAGACCGTGTAGATAAGTAGGATAATATAAAAATTTATAAGCAGCAGGTGGCCAATTTAAAACTTGTTTTTTACTCCCACTTTTTAAACTGGTTTCCAAAAAGGTCGATAAAATTTAATGCTAAGTAAAACTAATTAGCCTGCAAGGAACTGCTGCTGGAATGACACTTATTCAGTTCAACAAAAGAAATGTTTGGCAGATGGAAGTTCGTTAAAGCAGAGCTCACTATACATATTTAATGCTCCATACTCCGAGTTTATAACCTGCAGTTCATTGAGGCATTGCCAGTGCACACAATCAACAGAAAGCCACTATTATTTTTATCCAAAAGGTAAAGCCCACTGACAAGCTTTGAAGTTGGAGAATATTCACTCAGTAGTTCCCACTGTTGGGGAACAGCAACAACAACAACAACAAAAAATAAAGGCCAAGCTTTCAAACTTCAACTCTAACAAAGCCTTGCTTACAGTAAAACCGGCATCAAGTGAAATAAAAAGGCACCCAGCCAGCCTTTTCAACAGCGACCACACTGTGAAAGCAACTGTGTGAAAAGAGAGGTGACTGAGCAGGGATGGCTAGTGAGCGTCCGCAGCCAGGGCTTTTATTGTCAACCCAGTGATCAAAGCACAGGAGACCCTCTTAAATCTAAGGAAAATAATCTAATTTAAAAGGCAAAACAAAGAGTGGTGGTTTTGGTGGAGGTTTTTTCCTTCTTTTTTTTAAAAAAAATCAGATTACAACAAGGGTGTATTTCTGCTGGTATTGTGCTGCTTTGACCAAGCAGGATGAGAACAGCTGCATCAAGTTTGAAGGCACTTCTGGAAAAAGCAGATGGAGACTTTTTTTCCCTCCCTATTTGATTTGTGCTGGAGTCCAGCTGTCCAAAGCGGAAAGAAGCACCTTTAGTCCCTGCTAGATATTAAATGTCACCTGTAACTTCTCACAAAAAGAAAACAGCAATAAGCAGTGCTGCAGATGGTGCTGCAGAGCCCCAGCAGTTATGCTCGCGTTCCAAAAGCTATTTGCTTACCTGGAGGAACCGGAGAGACACTATCAGACAAATGAAATCCTTACGCTTGCCTCAGACCCTCAGGCAGGCTTTCCAAGTCCTCGAGAACAGGTTACAGCTCCCTTTGACTGCCCAGTGCAGAAATACCGCTCGGGACAGCTGCACTTCTCCCCAGCTGACCTTGGCTGAGAGCTACATCAGCCTCCACCTCCAAGGGCCTCCCACACCTTCCACAGACACCTCCAGCTCACCCGAGGGCACGTAACCTGCTTGCACGTAGATGCCAGCCAGCGCATCCATTCTCATCCGGGAGAAACAACCGGCTACTGACTGAACGGTTAAGAAAAATTACATGTTTTGGGCAGCCCTGGAGGATGAGTTTGGCTGAAGGCTACCAAGCCCTCTCTTAGCACAGTGAATTTTTGTCTTAAAACATCCGCAAATGAATGCAGCGCCAAGAGGAGGGGGGGCTTAAACTTGAGCAAGCAGAGCAACAATATGCTAGATATCTCACATATTTTGCATATTTACCTCTGGGGAAGGAGACAGGGCTACTTACAGGAATGTGAGGTAGTGGCACACGTCCATTTGCTTTGGCACTTTCTTGCATCTCTCTGCGATGCTGCTTGCGGAGTCTGTATGGAGGGATCCCATCTCTGAAGGAATAAAACAAAAACACGTCCTGCTTTAGTGCCTTTCTCCAATACACAACATTTATTTAAGCCTTCCTGCTGCAGAGTGGCAGGTAGGAAACCCTTTTTATGTCTGAGAAAGGCTTTGCATACCCAGGGTAAGTGCAGCAGAGTGAAAGGAACCCGTGTGGGGAGCGATGCTCACCTGGGTCCCCGCACCAGCAACGCTCCTGTATCGGGTGCTGGGGGGACTTACGTGGCATCTGTCAGGAGCAGAGCGGGGCTCCTGTGACCACTGCCCTCGGCAGAGGGCAGGGAGAAGGACTTGGACCACATCCTGGTACCTTTTATGGTTGGTTGCTTTCTACACAGTAAACCACAGGGCAGGCTAGGAGGGGGAGGAGGAGGAGTGGGAACTCAGTGAGCACCTACACCAAGAGGAACTCGGTCGGGCAACAAGGTATATGGTTCTTAAGAGAGCGTGACAACTTCTCAAACGGTTTATCAAAGCGAACAGGTATCAAAGCGCTGCTCTTAAGATGATCTCTAGCTCAGTCAGAAATTACAGGCTTGCCCTCTGCCCCGAGGAGGCCGGACAAGACTCGGGAGGGAAGGCACAGGCAGCGACACCCAAGGGAACCAGCTCTGCTGGAGCCCAGTTCCAAGATGAGGACATGGGCCCATATGAAGGCGACACCAGGTTCATTTTGAGAAAAGTCAATGAATGCAAAAACAAACGCCAGCCCGGAGCTTGGCAATTTGGAGCTTTCCTTTTACACTTTACACATTTCCCTACCTCAGTAGAAGTAACCACTTGGGAGGCCTTGCAGTGCCACAGAACTGCCTGGAAATGGTTTTGTTTGTCCGAAGCACCATGTTTTCTTCCAGGCACACGTGCCGTCTCCTTCCAGCCCCGTAGCGCAAACGAGCCAGTCCCAACGCTTCTCACGATGACACGACGTCGCCACAACCCAAAAGTACTTCGGACCTATCCCCCTCCCCACGTGCTGAGCACGGCTGTTCCTCAACAGCATAAACCAGTTTAACCAGCAGATTTTTAGAGCTGAGATGCCATTTGGCAAGGGAAAGACGATTTACTGCGGTGTTTTGCCTGCAAACCTCCCAGGTTACAAGCCATGGTCTGTGCAAGGCTGATGACCACCAGCTCTGTCCCGCTTCCATCGTGCCTGCTGCTGCCCCTCTGCATCCCTGGAAATGTGGGTGCCGGCAGAACGGCCACCAAATTACATCAGAAGAAGGCAATTTCAAAATTAAACGCCATCAAAAGAAAATAAAACCCCGTGATTAATGACAAGTGCTTTTTAGTAGGAAGACAAATGAGAGAACAGAAAATTAGCCAGGCTAATTACAGCTCTGGCCGGTGGCTCCAGGTAATGCAGGAGGAGGAAGAGCGCGGCCGGGAGCTTCACCTCCGCTGCGCCCAGCAGCGCCACGTTAGGAGCCGAGCAATTTCCCCAAGTGTTGCTATACCGACAGGCGGTTACGAGAGCTTTCCTTAGGCAGCTTCATCTTCTTTAACGCTGAACCTCCATTTGAAAAACAAAATCGAAAGAGTCACAATGGGTAAAGAGTTTTGTCACACCGCAATGGGGCTTCTTCCAGACGGCAACAAAGCAAGTGGCAATTTTTACAGAAAGAAAAATAACAAAAACAATCTGGAGGATTATTTTAGCCATTGCTGGTCGGCATCAATAGACAACATTTCAGCTTAACCACTGCACAAAACCCAGGCACCAGGACACAACTCGCACGCTAAAGCCACACAGCCGTTTGCGGGAAAAGCAGCATTATATTAGAAGGTGCAATTTTTCTTTCTTTCTCTTCTCTCTCTCTTTTTTTTTTTTTTTTTTTTTT